AAGGGGACATGAATCAAATATGTATCTTTATTCATTTACAATAAATTCATAAAGTACATCATTCTGATTGAAGCTAAGGGCATACAAAACTGTCTAACAAAAATATATAATGTTTTTATCTAGAACAATTAAGTGATCTATTTCRGAAAAGTTATTCAGATTAATTTTTATTATAGCAGTGATTTGGGCATTGGAAAGTTCATATTGAGTTTTTTTTTATTTTTGCCAAATACAATTTCTTCCCATATGAGGCGTAGGTCGGAAAGCCCTTTTTTTTTGAAAAGCCTATAGACTGAATCATCTCATTGCATCTTTCAATAGTACAGGTAGTAGAAAATCAGGTGGGATAGACAAAGTATTTGGCCTAGACAAAGAACAAGCCCTTTTTGCAATTGTATGAGCCACACTGTACAAACAAATGAGAGAGAAAAAAAGAGATAACATTTGTAAAAGACTCCTGCACTCAGCCATCAAGTGGTGAATGCGCCAGGGAACCACTAAGGAGGGTTCAATAGGTGAGAGGCTATCTTTTGCGCATCTCCTTCTAAAACTATGGAAGAGATAGAGGTGTAAAGTGGGCGGCCCGGACTATCTTTTGGGTGTTAGCCCGGCATGGCCCACGGCCCAGGCCTAAGCAGGCCCGTGCTATGCCATGCCAACACGTGGGCCAGGCCGGATTGTAGGCTGTGCCGTGGGCTTGGATCGTGCCGGGCTGGGCCACAGGGCGGGCCTTAGGCCTACGCTGAACCGAGTTGCATTGTTTTTTTTTTTTTAATTTTTTATTTCTTTTGTAAGTAAAATTGTAAAACTAAAATATTCAACTTTCCTATGAACTTTGAGAATCATGAACTATTTAAAAAATTTAATAAATGAGAAATTTAAGTTATTTAATACATAACTGGAAAAAAAATACTTAACCAAATTGAAATAAGAATGATGGAATAACAAATTGGAAGAAAAATAGGAATTTTATTTCATTTAAATTTGAATGGTACAAATTAGTGAATTAAAAATACAATGATTGGATCGTTGCATACTTGGATGAATCATGAATGAAATATAAAAATGGAATAAATTAATAAAATATAAAAAATACAATATGGTTACAAATTGAAAACACAAAATTACATTGTTAAAAAATTAAAATATATATATATATATCAAATAAATTAAATAAAATTTAAAAGTTTTACAATAATTTGAAAATATGAAAATTTCTACAAGTAGTCAAATTCATGAATCATCATTCATGACTTTCATCATCTGCTTCGGGTGAAATGTCCGGTGTTGTATCATGCCCTCCCTTGTCTTGTAATCTATCTTCTGCACCTAGCCA